TGTACTAAGCTTATACTAATTAGAGAATGAACAAGCAAACCTCATGCTGCCAATAATCTCAAGTAAATGGCTTTATTTGTGTTGTCTTGAGGTAGGAATCCCACATATATATCAGTCTCGATCCTTTTTATACTGAGGTATCAAGGAACACAGAATTCAGTTCATTTAAAATAGACCCTTCCTAGTGACCATTACACCCCGGATCTTAATTTTCCTGTGGTTAATATTTCACTTTGGATGGATTTGTTGGAGAAGTATTTTAACAGCTAACCACTGAATGAAGTCCCCCCACCCCATCACGGCTTTCTTCTTCAGCTTTATTTTCTCCCAGGAACATCTTGAGAATCATACTGCCTATTGCAGTTTTTTCTCTCTGCAAGAGTTGGCCAGGGGAAAGCCACATGTCCTACCTGGAACCACAGATGTATCTTTCTTTGATTATATAAGTCAGATGCAGATCTGCAAAGACTGCACAGAGTTGGTTGTGTGAGACGAGAATTGTGTTTATGGAACCTCATCACATTTTTTTTTTTAGAGTATCATTCTAGAGAATAGCACTAGCCGAGACATTGGGACCTGTGATACTTTAAAGGACGAAGTTGGGGCTGGACATAGTGGATTCCATGCCTGTAATCCTAGCTGCTTGGAAGGCTGAGGCAGAAGGATCGCCAGTTCAAAGACAGCTTCAGCAACTTAGTGCATCTTAGCAAGTCCCTGACTCAAAATAAAATATTAAAAAAGGGCTGGAGATGTGGCTCGGTGGTTAAGCGCCTCTGGGTTCAATCCCTGGTGAAGGAGAAGGGGAAGGAGGAGGAGGAAGTTGGACTCCTTAATCCTTTGAATCAAGTCCTCTTCAAAACAGTTGGACTAATTATATATTTCCCACTAAGATTAAGGGAAGGGGGTTATAATTTGATCAAAATGTTAGTAGTTCTTTATGTTTTCATAGCACCCTATAGTTTTCAAGAGAAGTCTATTCCTATTCACTCATTGGATTATCCCTCCTCCAGTCCTTCTGAGACAGAAAGGTGAGCAGGGTTCCCGTGGTGGATGGTGGAATGCCTCCATTCTTGGGAGCACTTCACATCCGCTCAGCCGTACGCATTTCTGGAGGGCTCCACCTCTGTCAGGTATGTGCAGGAAACTGAGGGCTCCCGTGGAAACAGATGTCAAGACAGGGAACAGATCCAAGTGTATGCAAGGCCATTTGTCCCCTCATTCACTTATTCACTCCTTCATTTATTCTCGAAACAAGCAGTTCCTAAGCCTACACTAGTGTCTCCCACGTGACAATATGACATAATGTTTAAAAGTGGAATGCTGGAATAGGAGATTTACACACTGGTCCTGACGCTTATTAACCTTGAGTTTTCCAAAAAAATTTTATCTGGGCAGTTGGGAGATTACATAGTCATTCTTTATCAACGGTTCTGTGGGGGAAAGAGAAACCAGATTAGCTTGTGGTGCCAGGCTAGATCAGCCAAGCCTCCCGGCTATCCACGTGTCTGACACAAAGACTCACTGGTAGTCCCTGTTAATGTCTTCTTTCTGATGAAATTAGAAAAGTGGCGTTTCAGTGTTGCTAACTCCAGGAAAGACTTGGGTAGGGGAGATGTCAGTATTAGGATGCGCACTTTCACTTCTTCCAGCATGACTGGCTGCCCGGCTGGTACCCATCAGGAGGTGTGTTCTAATCAGGTGATCCAGCTGAACCCTGTAGGGCAGATTCCCAAGCAGGAAGGCCTCAATCCAAACCTTACTCTCTCACTTACTACTTGGGCGTACCCTCGAACAGTTCCTTACTTTTTCTTAGCCTCAGCTTTTGTTTTGTTTGGTTTATTTCATTTGGAAGATAGGAATATATTATCCACCCCGTAGGGTTATCGAAGAATCAAAGGAGGTAGTGCCAACTAAGCACCCCTCCCATGCGGGTAAATACTGTGATTTCTGGAACCATGTTTATACTCAGGCATTTGCTAGATGCTGGGCCACAGGGATCAACGTGGTTCCTATCTCCAGAGCATTTTTCATCTACCAGGGTAGAGCCTTTCAACAAATAACTATGTATTCATTACAATTCTGAGAAGTGTTGGAAAGGTGCAGTCCTGTGGAAGGGGAAGTGGACAACAGCTTTATCTGTGGACTGGGGAAGGGCTTCCTTGGTACCAGAAGGTTCCATGGGAGCCTCCCCAGGGGAACAGGAAGAGACCTGAGCTGGCTGTTTACTATGGGATGAAATTGATTTTGCAAACCAGTTTTAAAAGGATGAATTATTCATTAAATTAAGCTGGGGATAAAAGGTTAGCATTCGGGAGGAAGTCTTATTCATACCATGCTCCAATTTTCAGGTAGAATAAACTACTAAATGTAAAAAAGTAAATCCATAAAACAACTAGAAGAAATTATATTAAATATTATTTTACTACTTAGGGGTTGAATGTATACTAGAAAAGCTTGTGTGTTTCTGCTATTAAAAAGCTCATATTTCTGAAGATCCAAAGGTATTATAAACAAAACACAAGTAAATCATCAATTGCAAAACTATTTGTAAAATAGACAACAGAGAGTTGATGTCCTTAAGACATAAAGAGCTCTCGTTAATCAGTAAGAAAAACAAGTGTCCGCATAATCTCAGTGAGAGTAGGGACATTGTCCTTTTTAGATTTTTATCCCTAGTATATTCTCCAAAAGAATGAATGAATGAATGAATGAATGAAGCAATCAATCATGATGGAAAATTGGGCAAAGTACACAGGCAGTCTAAGAAAAGACACGCAGGTGGCTAATTCCCATGTGAAAATGTGAAGTGACCAAAATGAAAATAAGAAGACCATTGAAATTTAACTTTCAATCATCATATGGGCCCATTTTGGAAACAATGACAGGACCCAATGTGGGTGAGAATTCAGGACACCAGCACCGGTTACCGCTGGCGGAGTGTATGTGTGCTTCCATTCTTGAGTAATCTGGAAATGTGTTCTAGAAGTATTGCTTTTGGGTCTAGAACAGTTACTTTGACCCAACTATTCTATATGTTGGAATTAGTCCTACAGGAAAAAATCAGAGGTTTTGCAGAGATGCTCGTGATCTATTTATCAAACTCAGACTACAGATGAGTATATGGGCATAATCCTCATCTGTAAAAATGCATACACAGACGTACTATACCTAGAAAAGAGATGGAAAGATTTTATGTGACAATAACATTATTAATGGGTAGTGAGACTCTAAGCAATTTTAGTTTCCTATATGAGGTTTATTTTTTTCCCTTTTATTTTCTACTGAATGAGCCTTCATGGCTTGGCAAATTAAAAAATAAATAAAATGATTTTATAAAAGAATGATTTTACCTAATGAATGGGAACACGAAAGTAGCATTGGGTAGGGGTTTAAATTCAGTCCAACTAGTTTGAGAGGGCAGTTTGCCATTGTATCAAAAGACTAGAAAAATATGCAGCTCCTTTGATGCAAGAGTTTCCTGTCTGGAAACTGGGATGACATATATCATCTTCAAGTAATAGATTACAGACTTTAATGTTGGTGGGTTTCATGTGCATGTTTATATTCTAGGTTTCCAGAAAAGAGTATACAGAAAATAACAAAGGTAGTAAAAGAAATTAAGGACTCCTCATGAGTTCCTACAGTTATCACTCTTGTCAAGAAGATGGGCTACGAAACTGCCACGTCCAAACATGTGCCCTCTTGTTGGTGTGAACACTTGGGCAAAGCCCAGGGACTTTTCTCACTCTACATAAATATTAGTAATGCATTAAATAAATGGGGGAGGTCTGGCAAGCAGAAAGTTTTCTAATGTCCCAGGACATATAAGTAGACATTCTGGGCCATTAAAAAAAATATCCTAGGACATTTCAAAGTCAAAGCCATATATAAGACGGCAGGATGGTCGTGCCAGGCGCCTTTAGTACAGCTTCACTTCGAATCCTGGGTGCGATCCACGGGCCTGGGTATCGTGGGCTTAGACACAGGGCCTCCCTCAGAGGTCATGAAGCCAGTGTTTTAATGTCACATCACACTTAGAAATTCAAAACAGCATCACTCCCTTCCCCCAAGGGGTGGTTAGAGAATTACTCTGCAGATTCTGGGACCCACAAGGTAGAGGAGGAGGAGAACAAGCTGCCTGTGGACCAGGCACTGACGGCTGCCCACACTTTGCCAATTCATTTAGTCTATTCCTCACTCTGCACATCTTTAACTGAAGCATTTTTTAAAAATCTCAAATGTCGTGTTACCCATGAATACTTCATTTCTCACACATTTCACCCATAAACACACTCATCTGTAATAGAAAAGGACACTTTTATTTAGACACCCTGCAATTACGCCACCTAACAAAATCAGCAAGTCCCTTAACCTCTCACCTAATGTGCAGACCACGTCTTCATTTTTCTCAATTGTCTCAAGATTTCTCTTTTACAGTTGGTTGGTTTGAGTCAAAAAGTTTCAGATATTACACTGTTTGCCTCTTTAAAAATGTTCTAGATCATGAGTCACTCAACGACTGGCTGCCCATCTTTGCACCTCAACATGCAACACAAGGAGACCACAGTATCACTTCATTCTTCCTCCTCCTCTTCATCTTCCTCCTCATCTGGTCACTTTCAGCAAAGCTTAGTTGCAGAGTCTGATGGTCTTACGTATCAGACCCCAGCTCTGAACGACCTCTCTTGTTTTCCAAAAATTAATTCCAACTCAGCGTCCCTACGTTTCCCACCAGCGAGGATTGTTAATTTACCTCGAGATGGTGCTGCAGCATCTCCATGTGGACTTGGAAGAGGAATCCCCAAAACAGGGCTTGGGCAGTGAATCATGGGGCCAGGGTTCTGCATGTGGCCCGTTTGAAGGACCCTTGGTGTGGAAATCAGAGACGGGGATTACCCCGCATCATCTGCATGGACCCATGCCTCTGCACTTGACTTCCTGCTCTCATGGGGCTCTGTGATTTACCACCAAAAATAACTGATGTGTTTGTTCTCACACAGATAATCGCTTACCAGCCGTATGGGAAGTCCGTGGACTGGTGGGCCTATGGCGTGCTGCTGTATGAAATGCTGGCTGGCCAGGTAACGTGGAGCTACGGCCTCCTGTTTGTTTGTTGTGTCCCCTGTGACTGCTTCAGCTCCGGGCACTGATGGAGGGCCTGACAGTGGAGTGCCCTGGTATGGGTCTGACTTCCCTTGAGAGTGTGTTCGGTGCACATGGAAATGATCTTCTATCTCCTGATAACAAAAACTCAAGTGCAGAGCTGCAGCCTGGGGTGCAGACCGTGTGGCTTTCCCGTCACGCCCAAAGCACCCTGCACGTTGATGACATCAGCGGCCGCTGTAAGTTTCCAGTATCTCCCCACGAGGGTCGGGTTAGGGTTCCCCGCAAGTTTGTCTGCGCAGATCGCCCCCCTGGGGCCCACATGCCTAACTAGTGTCATTATTTAAGAAGAAGGTTAAATAAGAGGAAGAATTTGATGGCTCCTCCCATCTCCCCGACTCCCCCTTGGCAGTCCACAGTATCTGCACAAAGATCCAGCGAGGTTGAACTTCCGGTTTAGCAAAGGCCAAGGAGACTTCTCTCAGGGTGTGGCTTGTATCAGAGAACCAAACACAGTGTCGCCTAAGGTGACATTTTCTGTCCTAAGGTGACACTTTCTGATATGATGGCTTTCATGTCATATCGTTGGAGTAAGTCACCCTAGCTGCTTTGGAAACAGCCCGCCTCCAGATCTCAGTGGTAACACACTCATTCTTGGCCTTGTACTGGGGGTGGGGGTAGGGGTGACACTGACCCACATGGTCACTCAAGGACCAGCTTGCTTTTATCCCTGAGTGCCACCAACTCACAGGACCTCAGATTCCTCCAGTGAACTCTCCCCTGTGTGTTGCTATAATTACTCCCTGTAACAAGAGAATGGACAGAAATAGGCTGAGTGGCTGAGCTGCCCCCCAAAAAAGTCTTTGTTTCTGGACGGGGTTGCAGCCCAGCGGTACAGCACCAGCTTGGCATGCACAGGGCTTGGGTTAGAACCCAGCGCTGCAGTAAGAGGGAAGGAAGGAAGGAAGGAGGGAAAGACGGAGGGACTCTTCTGACATGCTGCGTCTGTGAACTTGTTTATTCATTGACTAAATGCTTACTGTGTGTTCAGTGATGACAGAGAATGAGACAGACAACAATCCTTACATCAGCGTGCAGCTTAGAGAAGGAGAGACAATAGACTAGTTAGATAAAGAACATGCATGGTATGTTGGTGATAAGAGGAAAAGTAATGAGGCAGGAAAAGAAGATAGAGATGAGCAAAGATTGAAATTTCAGCTAGAATAGACCAAAGGAAGCGAAAGCAAGTGAGACCATGGCTGGAGGAAGACCTTTCCAGCAGCGAGAATAGCAAGTGCAAAGGCCCTGAGGTGGGAGTGTGTGTGGCTGTGTTGAAAGGCAGGGAAGTCACCAGTGTGGTGAGAGCACGGAGCTAGTGGGAGCAGGAGGCTGAGGTTGGAGAAGAAATCATTGGTATGTGAGCAAGGGGTGGAAAGCCACTGATATCTCCTCCATATCTCCGACATTTTGTCTCAAATCTCTTAGGTACTGATGTAGTCTTTGGATATTGAGAGATATAAGGTACTAACCTACATTTGCTCATTCTTTTTCAATGGTGTGAAGACTTGATTGACATCAAAAGAGTGGCTTGTTTATTTGTTTAGATTTTCCCCCTCAATCAAAGCCTGTTCTTAGGCCAAATTTCTTGGTGTCTGAGAACAGAAAAAAAAAGCCAGTTATACATACACAACCACCGACCGTGAGACAGTGGCTGCAAATACAAACCGTCTGCACCTGAAATTCACTCCCCAATAAAATTTGGACAATACAATTGGACCCTGAATTACCAGCCTCCGGGAGCCACGCTGTTCATGAAGGCACAAGAGGCCAAGTTCCCGTCCTTGATCCCATTTGAGCGTTCGAACTTTGAGCCCAGAAAACAAACCCTGCTTTCATTAAGAGTCTCATTTGCAAAGGACAAGTGAAGCAGCAGAGCGGAACCCTAGGCTGGCTGCCAAGGGCACTCCACAGGCCGTAACTTGAGTCAACTCTTGGCCCACAGGAGGGAGTTCCAGAACGAAGTCCTGCAGCCGAGCCCTACCCCTCAGCCCCACGCCTGCCTGCCTTCTTCTCCAGGCCTTCCTGGGGTCTCATTTTCTAGGTGAGAACTCAGGGAGTACCCCACCCGGAAGGAGGTCCCCTTTGGGGTACACACTGAAGTCCTGCCTGCCTCAAAGTCCTCCTTTGAAGGCGTCCTGGCCTGGCCCACACCTTCTGCAGAGCCCTGGGCTCCTGCTCCCCACACCTAGTGGTTCCGTAAACCTGTGGTGTGTTTCCATTATTTCCCTTCCCAGACTCAGAGATAATTAGCCTGCCTTGAGCGCATCCCTTGAAGTCTTCGTAATCTCTATTGAAATTGTTGTTTTTTTTTTCTTTTTTTGCAAAAATGACACATCATCTCGCCTTCGGTGCAGAGGCAGGCCCAGATAACAGCCTTTGTTCTCCAAGTCCTCACCTCTCCCGCTGCAAACGGGTAGCGTTCAGGGACCCTCCATCAGCCTCCTTGCAGATTGCTCAATGCAAATTTAAGTGAATTTCTGGTTTGTAATTCAGCCCAGAAAAGATGATGAAGGTTCCTCGGGTATAGCCGCCCAGCACCTCAGACCTGCGGGAACCTCAGAGACCTGGCGAAGAGAATAGATGCAGCCATTGGAAAGGAGGATTCATGATGAAGTTGTTGGCAGGGCTGTGGTCTGAATTTGTTCTCCTTCACCACAGAGGGCTGAAGATGAGCAGAAAAAAAATAGTTTATTGCAAATTTCTTCTCATTTGGTTTATTTATTGTCAGCAGCCAAGGGGCTGTTAAGTATAAACAGCCTCAGTCTTTATTCAGTTCCTGAGGTTGCTTGACAAACAGGATTGCTTTAGGGGCATGAGCAGGGCCCGCCCAGCACTCTAGCAAGCGCACAGCTGCTCCCAGTGTTCACAGTATTCGTGGTGAAGGGACCAGCCCTCTCCTCTGCAGGTCCTTCTCTACCCAAGTTACTTACGCTATCTTCATTCCTGATGCATAATGGGTATTCCTGATAATGGGTATTTTATCTCAGTAATTGGAACTTCAGCCCAAGTGGTCCCTGGGTGTTCGCCCAGCCCCTGTCCCAGGTCCTCAGGGATCTGCAAATAAATATGGAAGGGCTCCAACCACCACTACTAAGAAGTGATTCAGGAATCCCTTCGTGCAAAACCATCACCCTTCACTTGTCTGTCTGAAACTCACAGATCACACATTTCTAAAGTAGGGTGAGGGGCACTGCCCATCCAGAAAACTCACACAAACTCCAGACTTGTTAGGAGGGATTCTAGCTTGGAACCCCGAGTTCAGATTTATAGAAGTTAAAAAAGAGCCGTGGGAATGGGCTAAAGAGGAGACAGAGGCAATCTAAAATGGTCACATTCAAAGTCCCTGGGCAACACACTCCCACATGGTCCCCAGGCTAAGTAGCTGACATTAGGAAGAGAAAAGGAATATAATGGCAGCTTGTCACCATTGACCTGCCTTCAACCACAAGGCCTGAGAGCAGGCTGTTGCCTGTCAGAAGGCTCCTGGGGTGACCTGGAGGACTTACCAAGGGCAGGAACATGTTCACATCCTTCGGCATACAATCCCACACCCAGGATATCATTCTCAGGAGGCGATTCAGAGGAGGAAAAAAATGATATGCACGGAGGTGTTTATAGCAGCGTTAGTTATTAGAGCACAGCGCTGGAAGCAGTTGTAAATGTGCCCGTGGACAAATGACATATCGCCTGGGTGGCACTCAACTCGGAACAGGAACACTGGTGGCTACAGAGAAGATGTGTTTGCAGCAGTGAAAAAACAAAGAACTTCAGGTTATGCATCACGATTGGAAAATAACATAAGAACGCCTAAGAGTCCAGGCAGGTTTTGCACTTTGAATATTTAGACGAGGAGAATGGAGGGGTTGCTTTCGTGGACTTCCCCTCCCCCTCATATTACATAATTTCAACGTAAAGTAGAGCTCCAGGAAGCTTTTCTGATTGCAATGGCCATGACTATTAGACACCAAATATTTTTGGTCTGCTCCCCACTCTGGCACACAGTAGGGTGTATTCCTGGCTCTCCAGTGATTGAGTGGGGCATGGTTCTGGCCAAGGAGCTCTGAGGGGAAGTGTGCCGGGGAAGGCACTGAGTGCTGGCAGAAGACACAGAGCTCCTGTTCCCACCTCTGCCACGCAGACCAAGATGGCGGCCACTCCATCAGGGCGGGGCCTTGAATGACTGCGTCAGCAGAGCCCTGGGCGACCCCCAGTCGGCATGCAACATTGGCAAGAAATAAAATGTGTTGTCTGAGATTTTGGAGAAATTCCCAGTGTCTGTTGCCCCAGCAGAGCCCAAAGATGCAAGTGGCCACCACCCTGAAACAAGCCAGGGACAAAAGGGCACTCATCGTAGGATCCCACTGAATGGCGCCAAGAGCAGTCTTCACACATCTCAGGCCCTGGGGGACAGCCCCCTCTTTATTTTCCTCCACCATCCAGCTCCTGGGTCCCTGTGGGCAGGACAGTGCTTATGGTGGCCGAGACTCGGGCTCAGAAGTCAGGACACCTGTGTTAGGATCCCGGTTGTTCCACAGCAACTCTGTGGCCCTGGCCAAAGCACGGAGCTGAACCGCAGTGATGTCCCCTGTCCTCGGGGTTTCTGGTCCCCACATGGTAGGACTGGTCCCAGGATTGAGTGAGCGGAGCCCACAGAGCTCTCCTCGGGTGCTGGACATAGAGAAGGAGCCCAAGAGGACAGTGTTACTGTCACATCATTGCCGCTCTGCCCCACAAGTCCATCCTGCCCCTGTTTTACCACCAGTTTAGAGTCACAGTGGGCCAAGAACCTGAGGGGTAGAGGCGTGACCTGGGGTATGGTGACAGGAAAAGCCCTAATCCTTGGGGACCCACCAAGGGTGAATCTTGAGGCTCCATCCCAAGCATGCCGGCTTGGTTCTGGTTTAGGAATCCTGCTGCAAATGTCCAGCCTGAGGGGCCTCTGGGGATCCTTCCAGCTGAGACTAAAGATTCACACTGAGTAGAGCAGCTTTCTTTACTGGAGGGCCTTAGGGCTTTGAAATGTGGGCGTTAGTGCAGGTCTCCCGCCTGGGCCCTCTGACCCAGGAGTGTGCTGTAGGATGGATGTCCTAGGGTGCCCTCTTTGGAGTGTGTCAGGATTCGGGTGACCTGACCTAACGGGGGACAGAGAAGGCTTGATGGTAAGCATTCTCCCTTGACTCGCAGTGGACAGAACCCAGTTCCTCACACAGCAGCTTCCATTTCAGAAATTAGCATAGGTGGGGACAGCTCACCTGGCAAAGTGGGTTCCCATGCCACGAAGCAATCAAGCAGACGTGGTAGACCCTGCACCGAACACGAGGGTTCCTGGAGAAGGGTCACCCAAGTGTCTCTGGGCGCTGTTCCTTTAGGGCTTGGGCTGGGGTTGTCTGGGTCGCATTTCTGCTGCTGGGACTTGAGCATCCCCAGGGGGGCTGGTTGGGTCTTGCTGGTGCCTCTGTCACTTGACCACCCTTGCCGGCTCTGTGGGTGTGCAACCTGGGCAGCCACACCAAGCCTGAGCTCAGAAGAGCTGCGAGTTTGGTTGGATGCTTTGCCATCACCATCTGGAAATTCTTCATGGTTTTTAATAAAGGGTCCAAGACCTGCAAATTACGTAGCTGATCCTGACCAGAGACCCTAGTGGGCCATGTTGTGAGATGTGGACTGGTGATCCAGAAACAGAGCCCCCACCCCGCTCACCTCCAGGAGACCACTGACACCATAGAGCACGTGCCCACCCACCCAAGGCTCCGTGCTCCTGGAGGGGCTCAGCTCACAGCCCAGAGCAGAACTCACACCTTGTTTGAGTTATGAAAATCTCCACCAAAACTTGGCCACTTCTGGACCACGTGTTGGGGAAGGTGAGGGGTCATGTGGATATCACGAGAGGCACTGAGAAAAAGTAGGGTGCACGATATCAGGCCAAGAAGATGAGGTGATGACGTGGACAGCAGACCTGGCCATCACTGCAGCTCTTGGCCAAGAACAGCCCTCCCCCATCCCTGGCCTGGCCTGGCCTGCTCTGCCCTCTGGGGATGGAGGTGACACATGCCCCTGCTAGCACAAGTTGCCCCCTGCAGCTGGACTGCCCATCTGGCCTGCTTGTGGGCCCCTGGGTGCCATGTTCCCTCCTCTGGTGGCAACACGCATGCCATGGCAGGCTGCCCCTGCCCACTCTTATTCACAGGCAGGCTTAATTTTAGCTCTCCTCACCCACCTACATGTTTCTGCCAAATAAGACATTCTCTACAGCATGCACTTACAACCGGAAAGGAGGCTTATTTATTTATATTTCTAGACAAAAACACAATCAAGTGTCACCAGTCATCCAACCCTCACTTGTCCATACCTGACCCCAAAGGCAGAGACCCTTATGACCCAGCATCTGTCCGTGGCTCCTGTGACCTGACCCACACTCAGCTCCTGGCCAGGGCTCTCTACAGGGATGCCCCCCGGCTCTGCCTTCTCTATGCTAAGCTCAAGGTTACCTGAGCCAAGGAGGATCCTGAAGGAATTTCCCATGAGCCCATTCCTGCCCTGTGCAGCCCGCCAGGGTGACAGATCATTGGATGGGAGCCCAGATGTGCTGGAGGGAAAGGCTCCAAGGGCAGGTGGCTCAGCCTCTGCTCCTGGAGAAGTCTCCCAGCCTCTCCCAAGAGGCTCTGCGGCCTCACCGACCACCGCCAGGTTTCCTTCCTTTGCTCTTAGTGCAGCACACAGTGCCAGGTGCTGTAGACTCCCCAGAAACCTGTCGTAGAAAACCCCACTGTGAAATGGGTAAGCCACTTGCCTGTCCACCCAGCTGGGAAGCAGTGGAGCTCGAGTTCTGGCCCAGATCTGCCCAACTTCAGAGCCACAATGTTGCCCGGTGCCATGTCACCTACTTTCCTCAGCGTGGCAATTGTAAACCCAGGAGAACGGGCAGGAGAGGTGTCCTCGGAGGCTAAGCTCCATTGCTGCCACCGTGCGGGTGCCCGTGCCCACCCAAGACTGTTCCGTGTTGGGTCAGGAGGCCCCTTGGTGAGCTTCTGGGTCAGGGGACATGCTCCTTGCCCCGTTCTGAAGTCTCCTCCCCCCATTGAAGGCATGAGGCATTCTCTACCCTCTCACCTTCTGCACACAAAGCCATCTGTAATCTGACTTGATCATAATTAGATTTTTAGCACATAATTGCAAGATTAATGGATTAATTATAATTGGTTTGCAAATCATTAAAAGCATTCCTCAAAAAACATGTTCACTACAGATTGTTTGGGGTTGCTCGGGGCAGGATAATTAAAGGGACAGAGTTAAAAATGAAAAACACAGGACAGACAGCCTAATTAAAGATAATCAAATAAACCCCCAAGTTAGCTGAGCTGACTCCGCCGCCTGCGCCGCACCGGCTCCTGCTCTGTTTCTCTGTGCCGAGTCGAATCTCCAGGAACCGTGTGAATGAATCACTTCTCCTGAGTGTTGGCCCATGTTTCTCTTCCGGAACAGCCTCCATTTGATGGTGAGGATGAAGATGAGCTGTTCCAGTCGATCATGGAGCACAACGTCTCCTATCCCAAGTCCTTGTCCAAAGAGGCCGTCTCTATTTGCAAAGGGGTAAGTGGATTTGGGACCCTTTAGTGACCATGGACCAGGAGGATAGACCTGGCCGTGCCTTTCCCAGGCTTCTGTGAGAGGTGCCGGCAAGAGCACGGGCACACCACTGCCGTTGGCCACGGAGAGCTAGAACTTGGTGACATGCAGGGCATGGAGGGACATGTCGAGGACAGAGGGAACTCAAATCCCAACACTTCCTGGGCACTTCCTGGGCCTCAGTCGTGTCATCTCCCCCTATTGGACTTCTGTCTCCAGTCCAGCTGTTACAGCCATGGGGTGGGGGTAGCCAGAATCCGCTGCAGGCCTTTGGAAGGCGTAGGTCTCTTCTCTTGCCTCCCTCAGGATGAGGGAGTTCTTTCTGTCTCCCCACCCCCTCAGTACTGGGGACTGAACCCAGGCACACACTACCACTGAGCTACATCCCAGCTCTCTTCAGTTATTTTTTTTAATTTAATTTAATTGAGACAGGCTCTTACTAAGTGGCCGAGGCTAGCCTTGACCTTGCTGTCCTCCTGTCTCGGCCTCCTGAGTAGCTGGGATCTAGGTGTGTGCCACTCCACCTGGCTTTGTTTCTCTCTCTTTTCTTTTCTTTTTTGAGATATGACAAACTTACAGAAACAGGCACAAATCATCAGCCTACAGATCCACGAGCTGTCACAATGAATATACCCATGTAAGCCCAGCCAGGCTGAGAAACAGAACACTGGAAGCCCCTCCTGTCCCACTTTCCAGGTGCTCCCCACCCCGAGGGGTCCAGTGTCCCCTCTCCTGACCACGGTGCGGCTTCACCTTGTGGGTCTTGAACTTGGCGGGATCTTGCATCATGTGCACGGGGATGGCGCCTTTGGCTCAGCACTGGGTTGTAGCTGCGGCCACACTGCTGTGTGCCTGTGTCCTGCTTCCCTGTCCGTGCCCTGGTCTTTGTGTGGACTCACTGCAGTTATTCACCCTCCTCCCACCTGTGGGGCACTTGGGTGGTTTCCCTTTGGCTTAAGGCTGTTACAAATGGACCAGCTACGAAGCCCCTGGATCCTGTGTTCTGATGAACACTTGAGCTCCTCCCTGTCAGGAAGTGCCCGGGGCTGGAATCCTTGGTCAGGGCTTGGCTTGTTTCTAATGGTCAAGTATGAGGTCACAGCATTATTTTCAGATTTAGTGAGAAGGATTGCAGCACACTCTTAACATCTCTGGTTCCTTCACTCACTCACAAAGTGTTGATCCTGCGCATCTTCCCCGGGCAGGGCAGGTGGCAGAGATGCCAGCGCAGAGCACCTGAGCTCCTGCCCAAGGAGCTCGGGCCAGCGTGGCCCCTGCATTCTGCCGCAGGCACCTTGAAATTCAATAGTCGCCTCCTTGCCACGGTCTGCATTTTTCTAACCCAGGGGTCTTGGATCCCAGTTTGGTCCAAGCCCTGAAGAGGCATCTGAAGCTCATCACAGCATCCCGCTGGTTTCTGTGCGCACCGGTTCTGGTGACAGTGTCCCTTTTTACCAAATACACGTGCAGAACGGGAGGCCCAGGACAGGTACTGCACGAAGAGGCCTGTTTGAATTCCTCTCATTCCCTTTCCATGGATCCAGACTGCTTCCCCCTGTCCTTACTGTGACCGTCGTCACTCTAGGAAGGCCATACTTACCCAGCGACAGCTCTGTGCTCCGTGGTAAGCCTCCGGGACCGTCCAGGCACCTGCACCACTGGGCGGGAGGCAGAGCCAGGCAAAGGGACGTGCGTCTCCGGGAAGCCACTGTCACCCACCTTCTCTTTTTCTCTGCAGCTGATGACCAAGCACCCAGCCAAGCGGCTGGGCTGTGGGCCCGAGGGGGAGAGGGACGTGAGAGAGCACGCCTTCTTCCGCAGGATCGACTGGGAAAAGCTGGAGAACAGGGAGATCCAGCCGCCCTTCAAGCCCAAAGTGGTGAGTCCAGAAAAGCAGCCCATGTCTGGGTCCGACTCCCAGAGTCAGGGCGTGACCCACCCGAGAGAGCAGATGGGTGTCCCCTGGCCTCAGCCGCGGGAGGAAAATGGCCAGTGACCACCTGTGCTGCCCTGTGGTCTGAGAGGCCAGGAGTCCTGCTACTTTGCACAGGAAGGATGGACGAGGGGAAGCTCAGCGCTCCTCACCCGCAATAGGGCAGCTGCAGAGCACCCAGACCCATGGAGAGCCAGGGCGGTCTTCTCTGGGGGCTGGACTGGGGGGACACCCGTGGCCGGCAGAGCTGTACTTCCTGCCCTGGGTCCTCAGCAGGACTCAGGTCTGTCTCCAGCTTTCCTGGGTCTGTGTTGCCTTGGTAGGGTCCTGGATGGAGTATCTTCATCTTTATTAACTCATAAGCAGGGTCTGGGTGCAACTCCCATGTCACCCACTGTGTCCCCAACAAGGAGTGCATGGCAACCTCCGGTTCTGACATCACCAACATTGTTCAGATCCTGCCTGTGTGATATCCACTTTCCATTTATTTAATAGAACTATGCAGCAGACCCTGTTGTCCGCGCTTTATGAACGTGAATTCATTTAATCCTCCCAGCACCCACTGTGAGATGGACATCATGGTCCCCAGTATGCAGTTGAGAAAACTGAGGCACAGAGAGGTTGTGTAACTTGCTGAGGACACACGGCTGGTAGAACAAAGTCTGTGCCCTTTCCCCCAACACCAGTACTCCATCTCATGGCAGCCCTACAGCCTGTTCTGATGGCTGATAGCAGCCAGTGCTGCCTTTCTTAATGTTTGAACTCTAGAGAGAAACAGCATCTTTAAGATGCCAACCTCCTCACTCACCCACATGCCACCTTGCAGTGCCTGCTTTTCCCTCCATCCCCTTTCTAAGGGCTGGTGGGTCTGTACCTCCCGACTCTGCCATGTCTTGGCCAGCTCTGGACTAGCGCCCCTAGTGCTTTTCTTCCAGAACTACAAGGAGAGATGCTGTAGACCACAGTGAGCATCAGGAACATCTGGTTCAGCCCAGATCTGCCTCCAGTGGGTGCCCCATGCGCAGGCCGAGGGGACCCCTAGGGTGGCGGAGTTACTGACTGGGTAACCACATCTTTGTTCTCAAAGTAGCAACTTCCACAACAAAAGTGCCTTTGTGTGCTCCGCTCCAAGAATAGAGCCCCCTGGACTTTCTTTTTCTAAGACATTTTTAGCACAGGCTGAAGCAAAACCAAAATTAATCAGGTCAGTTGACTTCCTCCTGAATCATCGTTCCAAACAAGCCCTCCTGTGTCTGCCGCCACCACCTTCTCTGCAGCCTGCGCTGGACGCCAGGCGCTCTGCAGATCCTCTTCTTCAGGGTATAAAACCCCGTGTAAGGTTTGGGTAGGGGGGTGAGCTGGGCACAGATGGCTCCGCAGGGAATTCTGCTGGGGACTTCTTCACCCGCCTCTGCCTTCCATGTTTATTTTTCTTCTTAAATTAAAATGCAAAAAGGAGGCAATAGCGTCTTAAGCACAGCTCATTTCTTTATAGAAGCAGCATAGAGACACCCAGGGACCCCGCTCCCAGGGTCCCGCAGAATGCAATGACCTGTCAATCACTTTCTGGAAGGAGATGAGGCACCACAAAGCCAACCGTGAAGCACACTGTCTTTCCTCTATTTATTCCCACCTTGATTTCAGAAGAAAGGGTCTTTTCAGTCTCCCACTTTCCACGGGCATTCTGACCTAAAGTCATACGCGGGGAAAGTCAGAGGTGATTTAGCTCAGGCGGCCAACAATGGGAGCTGCTCCCTTTGGGCCACTGAGGTCACGGGAAGCAAAGTGGTTTCCACGGCGGGCAGCTGAGGCTGGAGAGCTGCTGTAGGTTTTCTTGTTTGCTTATTTGTTTGTGGAACTGAGTGCTGGTTAAAATAAGAAGGAAGAATAAATGGCCTTTGGCTGTAAAGAAACAGCCCCCGAAACTCTCAGACAGAAGCAGAAATTGTAGACAGAGACCTTCAAGCTGAAGTTGTCGAGGGTCTAAGTGGGGGTGCTCTGGTCCCCCCCACCCCATGTTCAGAGGGGGACTAGAGGACAGGGCCAGGAAGAACACAGGTGGCAGGAGGGGGGCCCCTGGGACACACAGACACCCAGGCTAGACCGAAGCCAGCAGCGTCAGAGGACATCAAGGCCAGAGAGCTAAGTGGGGGTGCTCTGGTCCCCGGGAGGGCAGCGGACAGCTGCTGAACACCTGGCTTTCTCCCAGCTCCTGGCACCAGGCCACACGCCCGCAGCAGAGTCGGCCTCTTAATCTCCGGTGAGGGGCATTTCCCTGAAAGGGCACCTGGGACGTGGCACCATACTGGAGTGACCACCACACCAAGGACAGCTCCAGTGGTTGGAGAGGACATCGTTGACCCGAGGAAGCAACTTCATTCCAAGCTGCAGATGCTCTGGCTGAGCACCTGCGGCAGGCGAGAGCTGGCCACAGGCAAAAGTGACTCTGGTTTGTGGTTTCCCAGCTTCCTGCTGAAGAGTTTCCGGGCCCAGGCCTAACCAAAGAGTCCAGTTTACAGAATAAATGCAGAACAGAGCACTTTCTGAGAGATGGTTCTGTTATGTCAAAGAGGGAGGCAGCAGCCCAAGCCTCTGGCCCACTGCTGAGGAAGGCAACAGGCCTCTGGCCTGCCCACGCACTGACCTGGTCCCAGAGGGTGCCCAAGAGCCTTCTGGACCCTCCCGACACAGCTCGTCCATCTTGGTGAAGCCAGGCTAGCAAGCACTGGTGAATCTATTTTCCCTGAGATTCACAGGATTAAGGAGGGTTTGCTGTTGTCCGTGCAGGATCGCTCCCGGCCCCATGGAATGAGCCTCTGCCTGTTGCAAAATACCAGCCGCAGGACTTGAAGTACTCATGGTTATTTGCCGGGTGGTTCCTGGAGACCAAATTTATATTTGTAGAATCACGAGGCTGTCGTCTTTGTTTATATTTATTTATTTATTCATTTTTGCAATACTGGGGATTGAACCCAGGAGTGCTCTACCACTGAGCCTTCTCTATTGTTTATTTTGAGATGGAGTCTCAGTAAATTGCCCAGGCTGGTCTCTTATGCTCATCCTGCTCCAGCCTCCTGAGCAGCCGTGATTACAGGTGGGCACCACCAAGGAAAGATTATTCCAGAATCGCTGACTCCCCTAAGGAGTGTGGAAGGATTATATCATCAGCCGCAGGGCTTATCTGGAAGTATCAGGGTTCCCATGGTGTGTGATCTTTTTATCGTCTTTCTGAAGGCCAAAGTGACATTGGCAAAGTTAACCTTTAGACGGAAGTGTCTTGCAAACTCTGAGATCCTGCCACAAAGGACACTTCATAGTACTGGGGTCCATCAGCAGGCTCCTCACAGGACTTTCCATCGCCCAGTGACATGGCTTCAGCTCAGCCATGACCTGGGCTCTACATAAGTCACACATAAAGGAGAGAGTTCTGGGCGTCAGATGTAGGGGACTGTGGCCAACTCACCTGAGGTGTCTGGAGGCTCAGAGGTGAGGGAAGAACCTATTGTACCAGCCAAAACGGCGAGAGTCCAGTCCTGGACAGAGCCTTGTCTTTGTCCAAAGCACCACCATGTGCCATTGTGAAGGAAAATGATTTTCTGGAAGATAGGACCATCAGGTAGCAGGGCAGAGCCTCCGTGTGCTGGTTTATTTTGCAAAACAAAAGCCAAGACATGCTGGAGAGGAAGCAGACACATGTGCAAGGCAGGCTGGGCCCAGTGATCTCATGGATACAATGTCGAGGACCCTGCTGCACAGACAGAAGTGCCAGCTCAGCATTGGCCTGACTTTTGGTGTAGCACACCGAGCAGTGGCCCGTCACTCACTGTTCAGAAGACGCCACCTAAGAAGGTGCTTTTTTTTTTAGTGTAAAAGCGATGTCACCTCTGAAAAGCTTAATCTTCAATTACAGGGGAAGAAATAAGTGGTCCCCTGCGTCCCCCTGGCATCAGGCAGGCAAGGGGGTGACCGGCCAGCTTGGCCCACCTGAAACCTGCCCAAGAAAGACTTCCCTTTCCTTCGACATTGCCTGAACAATGAATGCTCCAATATTCTGATCGCGTCGCTTTGACCTTTGCAGGCTTTTATCCTGATTTATTATTCATGTGGAGAAACTGACTGAGACCAGCCTTCAAATCTCTCTTCCTCCTGCTTGTCACAAAGAGCAGTTTACACAAATACCGGAAATGAAAAGTTAATTGATTTTTTCTTCTTTTTTGAATCTGGTCCATTGGCACCAGGGAGTAGAATAGCTAGTTCACAGGCAGGCCGGAAACAGTCGGCGCACTTTAATAGTTATTGGAGAGAGAGAAAAATTAATCCATAAAGTTAACACCAAGAAACAGCCCAGAGTTGACAGGTAGGCAGAGCACTTTGGAAATGGGCCTGTCTTTCCTAAGTGACTTTTCTTGGGAAATCACTGTAATTATTCTATCGAAAAGAATAGAAGAACTTTTATCAGGACATTGTCATCCTTGCAGCAAGAGCCAAAGAGAATAAAAAAAAAACATGGAGACAAAGCGTAGGTGCCACTGTGGTGAGAAGGCACAGTCCTGAGTGTCCCTGTCACCACGAACCTCTGCATTTCACAATGGCATTAGCTTGTAGAGAGAGTTCAAAGATGGTCTAATTATCAGAATTGATGCAGTGATCCTTTTCATTGTTTAAAAATAATTTTTAAAAATTTCTCATTTTAGACTTGTAGAAAAGTTGGGAAAATATTGTAAAGAATTTCTGCTTTCCCTTTACCTAGATTCTCTAAGTGTTAAGTTTTTATCACATTTGTATTATTCTCTTCCTACTCTTTCTCAGCCTGTGTGTACACACACACACACACACACACACACACAGTTTTTCTAGAAAAAAAAACATTGAGACTAAGTTACACCTAAATAATTCCCTGTGTATTTCCTAAAAATAAGGACATCTCATGGTACAATGTTCTTTTA